TAAAATCTCAAACATATACTTCAGTACGTGTATGTAGCTGTTCTAATACACGCACAATTGCGTCCTAAAAGCTTATTTTAAAAAGATAATTTATGTTATGAATTTTTGAATAACATCTCTGTTTGATGATTGATTAATTTTTTTTTTTTTTTTTTTTTTTTTCTTCCGTTTGAAGTGTGTAAAAGTTTGTTGTTTTGGCCTTTTTTGGAATTTTAAATTGTTATTGTTGTGCTACGCAATTGTGTGTTTTTTTAAATTTAGTATGTTTTCGAGAATCCTCTATACCTATGTGAATCTGTTGAACAACAATGACAAGGAAAGTCTAATTTAAATGTAAGTAATCAAGTCAATTTCTCTACCTCTTGTTAACTATAAGTATTTTTTCTATGTTTTATGATGCTACTCTCCCCACTTACATTGTATATTTATATATGTGTAATTTTGAAGGTTTCATGTAATTCTGCTATTTTCTTTCTGTTTTTATGTAATATTTATTCAAGTAATGTAGTGCGAAGTCAGAGGATAGCTTTGTTTTTTGTTTGTATTTTGTATTTTTGTAGTTCACCATGTAAGTCTGTAAAGAACCCTTTTATTTTTTATCATTACAGTGTCCTGAAGATGCAAATAAATTTTGCGAAACGTCGACTTTTTTCAAAAACCAGACTTCTGCGTTTTTTTTTCTTCCGATCCTACCCAAACAATTGAAAATACTACGTTTATAAAAATGCTAATTATTTCGGTAGTATTTGTGCCTAATTATTACTTTATTAGATCAACGATACCCCTCGTGATAGCCTACAGACCAAAAACACATGAAACAAACATCTTCATAAACATTTTAAAAAAAAAGTTACTTAAGGGCACAAGTGTATTAATAAAATATTTTCGAAATGGGCCTATCTATACGCGCACCAAGTTTGGCTAACCCTCCACCAAACACCCTGTATAGTATTATGGCAGTTTTTACTACTAAGTGAAGTTTGAGTTCTCCATACCTGTTGTTAAAGCTAAATTTCTGAAGCCTCTTAATTATTTTTCTTATGACTTTAAAAATGCCAATTTTGATTTAGTTAATGAATATTTTCTTCCCTTTGATTGGCGATCCATTATGATGGAGGATCTAAACGAAACTGTTAAGAGCTTTTACTCGGCACTGTTCGACTGCTTTAATATGTTTGTTCCCATAAAGGCACATTCTTACAGTGACAAGTTTCCTATCTGGTTCTCTAACGAATTGAAAAATCTGATTTTTCAAAAGAAAATTGCTCACAAACGATTCAAGCGGTCGAATAGTGGTTTGGATTACTTTGCATTTAGTACACTTCAGAGAGATTGTAAAAACCTCACCAAAGAGTGCTACAAATTATACATAAGTGATACTGAAAGAGCCATAGGCACCAATATGAAAATTTTTTGGAACTTTATTCACTCCCAATCTAATCAGGGTACTATTCCTAACGAAATGTTTCTTGCCTCAGATAAGGCGTCCAATGGTGTTGACATAGCTAATCTTTTTGCTGTCTATTTCTCCTCCGTCTATAACCCTCAGAGAAATTCCGACGCTGGAACCTTTGCTGATCGATTTGAGAATGTTTCAAGCATTGTCATAGATCCAACCGATATTGAGAGGGCTTTAACGCAATTAGATATCAACAAGTCTGCAGGACCTGATGGTATTCCCAACAGAGCACTAAAATCTTGTTCTAACACTTTGTATCATTATCCTTTGGAATTTTTCCAGAAATGTGGAAGCTCTCCTACGTTTGTCCTATTTACAAGTCAGGCAGCAAAAATGATGTAACAAATTACAGACCCATCAGCATTCTGTCTGCGATTCCAAAATTATTTGAGCAGTGCGTGGAAAAAATTCTTTCAAAAATATTTCATCAGATTGTGATCAGTCAACAGCACGGTTTTACAGCCGGTAGATCCGTTGGGACGAACCTGTTTTTCTTTACAACATTATTTATAAATTCATCATTTGCTAAGAATGCAGAAACTCATGCAATATACAGGGTGTCCCAAAAAGATACCGACAAACTTTAAGGGGTAGTAGGGGACATCAAAACAAGCATTTTTGTTTATATAAACATATGTCCGCAAATGAGCCATTTGGGCTGTAGAGCAAAAAAGCTGTTTGATACTTTTATTCTTCGCAATAATTAAATCACTGTTTACTTATTAATTTTGCTTTATTATCTAATAAATTATGGTTTACAATAATTGTTCAAAATGTTGACCATCTACTTCAATGCAAAGATTACACCGTCGGGTCATTGACTGAAAATTTTAGTCTACGAAACACCTATTCGTAATGAGGAAGATCTGTTAGCAAGGATACTGGCGAGTTATACCCATGTAGAAGCTATTCCCGGAATATTCCAAAGAGTTCGCGAGTTGAACAATTATTGTGAACCATAATTTATTTGTTAATAAAGCAAATATAATAAGTAAACAGTAATTTAATTATTGCGAAAAATAAAACTAGGTACCAAACAGTTTTTTTGCTCTACAGCCCAAATGGCACATTTGCGGACATATGTTTATATAAACAAAAATGCTTATTTTGATGTCCCCTACTACCCCTCAAAGTTTGTCGGTATCTTTTTGGGACACCCTGTATACTGACTTCAGTAAAGCCTTTGATAAGGTAAACCACAACATCCTTCTTTCAAAGCTTTCAAGTTTCGGCGTTTCTGGACATTTATTTTCATGGATGAAATCATACCTTACTAACAGAATGCAACAAGTCAAGATCGATGGCTATCTTTCTTCTCTTTTCCATGCATCCTCTGGGGTACCCCAAGGTTCTCACTTGGGCCCCCTTCTATTCAGCTTATTTATCAACGATTTAGGATCGTTGCTCTCCTCAAATTTTTTACTTTTTGGTGATGACTTGAAGTTGTATCGTCAGCTCAAGACATACTTATTTGGCAAAATGATCTTAACATCGTTCACGATTGGTATCAGCTTAATTACATGTCCCTCAACATCGATAAGTGCTGTTGTATAAGATTCAGTAGACGCACCCATAGTGTTCCCTTGCAGTATTACTTAAACAATGTTCGCTTGTCTGAAGTTTCTATCATTAAAGATCTTGGTGTCTATCTAGATACTAGGCTAATGTTCACTGACCATTTTGAAGTGGTAATTGGCACGGCTAATAAAATGTTGGGTTTTATTAAGAGAGCTACTAGGGACTTTACAAGTATACGCCCTATCAAAATGCTTTACACATCACTGGTCAGGTCCGTTCTTGAATTTTAATGCATAGTTTGGACACCTTACTATCAGATCCACATCAATAGGCTTGTGAGTGTTCAACACAAATTTATCAAGTTTGCAAGGTACAAGCTTTCTTTGAGTGGTGTGATTCTCAGTGATGACCTGACTATGACTTATTTAGACTTATCTACTCTTGTTCGCAGAAGGGAATATTTTGATGTCTGCTTTGCATTTAAAATCCTTAACTACTACATAAAAGCCACGAATTAGGGATGTACCGGATCGGGTATTTGGCCGATCCGGCCGGAACGGGAATTCCGGCTCCTAACCGGACCGGACGGCCGGAATTCCGGCCGGATCGACAGTTTTCTGCAATTTAATAATAAATTAAAAGGGCGTATTCTTTTTTTACCGGCGAACCTACAGATGAGCAGTCTATCTCTTTCTAGTACATAGGAAATCAAGATGACTTACTCATAATGGAGAATAGCTCGATGGAAAAAAAGATAGCTCGATGGAAAAAAAGAAAGCGGCTAAAGTTTGGTTATGTGTTATGAGTTTGGCTGCTCCTTCAAGTAGATTGGCGCATCCCCGAGTCTATCTGGATGTCTATTCTCAAAACCGGGGAATAGCGTTCTCATGAGAACGATTGCTCTGTCTTTGTTAGTGTTATGGAAATATGAATATGGGTGACAAAGACAGAACCTTCGTTCTCATGAGAACGTTTCTCCCCTGTCTCTAGAATAGGGACCCGTTCTCATGAGAACGTTTCTCCCCTGTCTCTAGAATAGGGACCACAGACATCAGACTCGAACGCTTGTGCACGTAAAACTTAAACGATTTTCAGTCCAGTGTAGTTGCAGTTGTTTTGTGTTTCTGTGTATCCAGTGAGGTATCCAGCTAAGTTAAAAATTTCAAAAGTATGGAAATTTTTTGAAATCCATACCTGAATTTAATGTTTATGTTTAAAAAAAATATTGTTATGGTTTACAACTTTAGTTTTAATAAAGTTCTAAGTATTCTTCTTGCTTTCCGCTTATAAATTTATTATTTAACCTATTTTAAAATTTTCGAAAATTCCGGCCGGATCGCGGTTGCGATCCGGCCGGAACAGTAGTTCCGGGCTATAGGCCGGATCGGCCGGATTTAGTGGTACCGCCGGAATTCCGGTACATCCCTACCACGAAGTTATCAGACACGAAGTAAATCTTTACTGCGCATTCCTTACTGTCGAACCTGGTACTTACTATTCAGTCCTGTGAATAGAATATCTGCCAATGTAAATAAGTTCTGTGAGGGCCTTGAGTTCTTTGGTTTATCTCTGGATAAATTTAAGACGAAGGCCAGGAGAATTGTTTTAGGTTAGATTTTTTTAGATTTAAACTCTGTTCAACTTCAAATGTATTTTTCTTATACATAAATAAATAAATAAATAAATAAGTTTGTGTCCTATCAATATCCGAAGAAGGGGGTGATTGGTTCATTAGGACGTTAGAATGTTCTGGTCCTAACCGACGAATCACCCCCTTCATGGCATTTTTTGTTAGAAAATTAGATCACAAAATCGGCAATGCCTTATTTGTTAAGACTCTGTTAAAGAAAATGATGAAAAATTACAAAGTAGAATGTTCAATCACGCGTTCCAAAGTTATCACCTGGTCTCATGGAACACCCTGTATATTTAGGGGGGGTCAGAACAGTTTTCCAGTATTTCCAGTGATAAAAATAGTTCTACTAGTAAGAGGTATACTGAGGTCTCGACTGGGGTTAGTGAAGTTATGTGAAAGAATCGTCTGGCTAATCTGTGAGTACATCTGGCAAGTGAAAAATTTATAGATACAAAAATTTTCAGCCAGACTCTCTTTTCACTATCTGAGATAAGCCAGACTGCTATTTTCATATTCTTTATGTTCTATTTTAGTAAATGTGAAATATTTATGACTGGGAAAAGAAGTGTACTTAACTTGTATTTTTCATTTATATTGTGAACTCATCCGTTGTTTTATTGTCACCAAGAAAAGACAACAAACTATTCAATATACATCAACTAGGGAAATCAACCCCCCGATTCTCAACTTCTAGTCGCAACCTATCAACCCCGACTTTCCATTGCCTTTCTACAAGGAGTCGGGAGTCGGGACGTTACGTAGGTATCGACTAAACGATTGAGAATCCCACTGCAGAATAGCCATTTTGCTGAAGTATTTCTATTTTGCACCAAAAAACTCTATAGTAGTAATTGTTATGAAACTTCTATTAAATTATCTAAAATCGAGTCTAAAGTAATCAATCATATCAAAAATACAATTCACAATTAAGTGATAGGGCCAGAGACTAAACATTGCCCAAATCTATTCTAGAAAACTCTAGAAAGAGAAATCCGGTCGTGCCAGGGCTTGATTATATGGACGGATTGCGATAGAGAAGGCGAAAACATTGGCTTCGAAATTATTAAGGTTTGCACCGATATCAAGCCCCAATTGAGAGTGTATAGGGCTAAGTTTTCTGAAATCACTGCCGCTTCAGTTTTTAGGGCCTTGAACACTTTGGGGCAAGCCAATAAGAATGTAAGTGATGCTGTGGATGTACGACAAGAATTGGATTTGAGAACTGGTACTGTTTTGTGTGTGTTTTATGCTAAATAAAAATAGTGAGTTTTAGGAGCCGCTTTCACTAGACTGCAAACTTTGAGATATCAGCAAGTATTTCCTGCAAAATTAGCCAACAAATTGATTAGTTACGGTTCGTGCCAGTTTCCTACTTTGGGGTTTGTTGTAGAAAGGTATCAGGCCATCGAGGATTTTATTGCGGAGCCGTTTTGGAAAATAAAAAGTAAATATTTATTTACCTGGTTCTTAATGTATAAAAATTTCTGTTATTGTTTCAAGTGAATCACACTCTAAAGTTAACGACAGAATTTTTGTGGAAACGAGAAAGACTGTTTGATAAGAACTCCTGCGAGGCGATTTTAGATCACCTGAAAGAAAACCCCCTAGCGACAATAGAAAGCGTGGAAAGCAAGGCCAAAAGCAAATGGAGGCCCTTGCCCCTGGACACAGTGGAAATGGAAAAAACAATATCCAAAAAACTTAGAATCAACGCCAAAGATACAATGAAAATAGCGGAAAAACTATACACTCAAGGATATATCAGTTATCCACGTACCGAAACCAACATCTTTCCCAAAGAGTTAAACCTGACCAGCTTAGTAGAACAACAACAAAACGACAACCAATGGGGCCCCTTTGCGCGTAGAATTATGACAGAAGGAGGTCCCACACCAAGACAGGGTCGCAAATCTGATCAGGCCCATCCTCCCATTCATCCTACTAAATACGCCGATAATTTACAGGGCAATGAAAAAAGGGTTTACGAGTACGTGGTGAGGCACTTCTTGGCCTGCGTTCACAAAGACGCTCAGGGCTTTGAAACTGTCGTGCACGCTGATATTTCAGGGGAAAAATTCACTGCCAAGGGACTGATCATTTTGGAGAAAAATTATTTGGATGTGTATGTTTATGAGCATTGGAACGGCAAGGAGATTAATAATTATGAGAGAGGAGATACATTTAATCCGACAACTTTGGAAATGGTATGAGATATTTAGTTTTTATATAAATTTTATGCGTTTGTTGTAGGTAGAAAGCCAAACTGGGCCTCCTAAATTGCTCACTGAAGCCGACTTAATAGCCCTAATGGAAAAACACGGAATCGGAACCGATGCCACTCATGCTGACCACATTGACACTATCAAATCCAGAGAGTATGTGGGTCTGCACGATATTTACTTTGTGCCGGGCAACTTGGGCATGGGTCTAGTAGAAGGGTAAGAATATGGGCCCCCTTTTCATACATCTCACCAAAGACTTTTTTCAGGTACAACAATATAGGGCTGGAAATATCTCTTGCGAAGCCCACTCTCAGGGCCGACTTTGAAAATGACCTGAAGCTGATTTGTGAGGGACACAAAGATGCGGAGGTGGTGAGGCGCGAACAAATTGCCAGATATAAAGCCATGTTTCAGACAGTTGCTGAAAAAATGAGGTATGGAGTTGATTTTAACTGTGAGTTTGCTTGCTAAATTTGGCATGCCAATTTTCCAGCATATTTGATTGTGCCAGGAGTTTTGTCTGTGTCTAAATCATATCCTATGAACTGTGTTTTTCTGTCTTTGTCGTCCGGCATAACACTGACAATGACAGAGCAATCGTTCTTATGAGAATGCTGTTCCTTTGTTTCGAGAATAAAGTCCCTGCTGAGTGGCTGAGCTTAGCTGCTTGGACCGCCTGAATGTACCCATTGTATATACATACACTTATACTGTGAAAGGTACACTTTGTGAATTGTTAGATAAATTTCTTTAAAGTGGAAATTAAAATTATCTATGTCCTTATGGAGTGTCAGAATTGTTTTAGAGTTGGTTATTTGGTTGAAATAATTTTCCTTAGCTCCAAGATATTGAATGTTACGTACTGCATAATATATACTCCTGGACAAAATTATCGCACCACCACTGAACATAAGAACCATAAGCAGTGGTGCGATAATTTGGTCCAGGAGTATATTATTTCACAATGCTAAATTGGTTAATGTGATAGTTGAGCAAATAAAATGCATATCATTATTGTTATTATTATCATTATTATTATTATTATATTATACAGGGTGTATATTTTAAGTGATACCACTATTGCTATATCCGAAACGGTAAGAGCTACAACGTCGGTTAAATTAGAAAAAAGTTGCCTTTTTTGATGCCCATTTAGGACTCGTTTACAGTGTTGCCAAATTCTTTTTAGTTTATGAAATACAGGGTGATTTCTAAGAAACGCCCGAAACTATTTCATCAATTATTTTGAAAACTATTGATTTTCGTGACACAATTTAAATTTGAAAGTTTTTTAATTTTTTTTGCTTTACAACATGGTGTCATCAAATTTCAAATCCGATGTTTCGTAATTGAGATACCATCATCAACTTCATTTTTTTAAATACGGACCTGGATTTTTTATGTCATTTTTAGAAAGTGCCTTTTATTCCCTTTGTAAAAATGACATAAAAAGACCAGGTCCGTATTGAAAAAAATTAAGTTGATGATGGAGGCTGGATCACGAAACGTTGGATTTAAAATTTGAAGATGCCATGTTGTAGAGTGAAAAAAATGATAAAACTTTCAAATTTAAATTGTGGCTCGAATATCAATAGTTTTCGAAATAGTTGATGAAATAGTTTTTGGCGTTTTTGAGAAATCACCCTGTATTTCATAAACTAAAAGAAATTTAACAACACTGTAAACAAGTTTTGAATGGGCATTAAAAAAGGCAACTTTTCTCTAATTTAACTGACCTTGTAGCTCTTACCGTTTTGGATATAGTAATAGTGGTATCACTTAAAATATACACCCTGTATATAACCCATGTGTTTTGGGTGTTGGGTGAGAGTAGCTCGAAGTGTTTGTCTTCTGTGTCAACTGTCAATAATAGGTATTGTTCGTCGATTTTAATCTGATACTCGGACGGAATGTAAGCTGGTGGCTCCCTACATTAGAACGCCAATGGTTACCTGACGTCATACCTGTTTTTGCCATATGAAACACCCCCTCGCTGCTCATACCCATACCGCAAGTATCAGTTAAAAATCGACGAACAATACCTATATAACAACCTTAGGGTGGTTGTTTTTACTAATAACTGTTGGCTTGTCTTTGATTGTTATATTATATTATTATCATTATTATTGGTGTGTTAAGTGTATTCGTTTCAGGCTCATTGACGCGACTCTGGCAAATAGGCTGGACGATAGACCAGAAAATGTGCCAGATGAACCAAATGTCTCTGTAGGTGGAGATGATTTCAGGCCTGCGCTGAAATGCCCCAGGTGCGGCAACGATATGATCATAAAGTAAGTGAGCAAATGAATAATTTTACTGAATAATCAATGGACATTTTCCAGAACGAAAAAGGATGGAGTTGGCAAATACTTGACGTGTCTTGGATATCCGGACTGCAAAAACACTAGTTGGTTTCCCAATTTTGTCAAAAACGTTGAAGTGACCGACCAACATTGTCAAGAGGTACATAAATTGATTTCCAGGATGGAACAAACCCATACAATTTTCATTTCAGTGCGGACCCGATTGCAAACTGCTAAAATTCACATTTCGACCCAATCCGTTTCTTGGGGAGCCTAACCCCAATGTCCTGTGCGTTGGAGGTTGCGACGAAAACGTCAACGAGACTTTGGATGTTAACTTGGGTAATAGGAGAGCTAATAATGAGGTAGCACCAACGAGAAACGTTGCTTCACAAAGAGCACCTCAAACTCAAACACCAAGGGCGGTGCAAGCTACTACACCACGAGTAATTGCTGCACCTCCTCAAGCTAATAATCAAAATCATTTACCACCTCCTGTTGCAAGAAGCACAAATTCTGGTAACAGGCCTGCTGCAAACGCTGATGAAGATGTTGTGTGCCAGTGCGACCAAACAGCTGTACTTTTAACAGTGCGAAAAGACGGCCCCAATAAAGGTAAGCAATTCTACAAATGCGCACAATCCGTGTGCAATTTCTTCTTGTGGGATCCGCACGACGCCGCAAACGCTGTTGCTCGACCTGTTGCTACAACTGATACAGTGGACGTCCAGTGCCGTTGCAATGAAAAAGCCCCCATTAGGACAGTGAATAAGGAGGGCCCCAATAAGGGCAGGCAATTTTATTGTTGCCCCAATATGCAAAACAGTTGCAACTTTTTCCAGTGGATTGATGAGCCTGCATCAGAGGAAAATGAAAATCTTAATTGGAGCTTTAGAGGGAAAACTTCAAGGGGCCAGGGCAGGAAAACGCAAGGAACGAGGGGGAAAAGGAAATGCAGCAAGTGTGGGCAAGAAGGTAATATGTCTGCATTTTTCAATAGAGCATCGAGTTTTTATAGTTTTTTTTTTAGGTCATACAAAAAATCGTTGTCCCAATTAAGAAGGTGCCTTAATTTATTTATTAAAGAGAAATATATTTATTTATTTATTTTTATTGATTTTTTTATTGTGAATTTTCTATATGTTTCCTACTCCTTTTCCATAGCGCTACAACTTGTGTCCAAAAACAAGCTTGCGATTTGCGAATGCTGTAAATAATCCTGTGTTCGTGTCTAAACTAACAGTCAATCACCTGAAGAAAATAGAAAAACAGTGAAGAACTGAAGAATTAAGAGTTGAAGAAAGCAAACGTGCAACAACGAAAAAACAACGAGCTCGCAATAGTCGCACTTGATCCGCAACAAATCATTCTCTTGCAGCTCTTGGTTCTTTCCTTTGAGTTTATGATCTAATTTGTAGAAGGAACTAAATTAAAAGATCAACTTGAAGTGAGTATAGCAATGATTTTGTTGAAGTCCTGCTGTTCAGTTTCGTCTACGCGCCCTGTATATAGTTGCAGGTTAAATTGGATATGTTGGATGTTAAATCCTATTTGGGAATGGAAATTGATTCGTTTTTCTTTATTTTTTGTTTTCTCTTATTCTAATTGAATTGCGTGTGCTCTATGCCTAAGAATGATACGGCTTTGCTAAATTTGGCTTTTGAAAATGCGCGCGTAAAACACTGAAAAGGGTACCGGCAAGTCCTGACACTTCCTGCCGACAAGCAGTACCAGTTGCCAAAAACACTTCGCCCGCTTCGTGTGGTTCGAGAAAATAGACCCGCGGTTTTTCGTTTGCGCGACCGGTTAAATCAAGACGGTTTCCTTGCACTCCTACGCATGGGACCTGAACTTCCTGAATGAGCTGGCCAGCTGAGTGGAGTTTGGAAGTAGAGCAAGGTAAGGTGAAAAAATACCTATCCTTTTCAGTTTCGATATCTTTCAATTTAATTTTAAAATCTCTCATCGATTACCATTCTATCAGCAACCTGTGGATTTTCCAGTTTTAATTTCGCACACCTGCTAACTTTGAGAGGAATGTAAGCAAATTCATGGCCTACTATAATGTTTTCTGCGATTTTACCAGTCCCCTCCAGCGGCAATGCGTTAGAGCTAGATATAATTATCATTACAATAGAGATTTTAATTATCTATAAGCACGCCTTCTTGCTCAAGATGAAATGCAGCACTTGAGGAGAAGAAACTGTTGGAGCACTGAACTTAATCTTGAGTGAGGGAGATAGCAGGATTGTGGGGAAAATCCATCTATTTTAATCTACAATTTTATCTTATCAAGGGAAATTCTGGATTCCCAAGTTCAAGTACGTAGGTACGATAACTATATTTATTCAGTCTAAAAATGAAGCTTTTGTACATCTGTACGGCACGTAAGTACAATATTATTAAATAATTATTATAAATAAAACAGCAATTTTTAGTCTGTACTCTTTCGGTGCATTTGTCAGCGTTTGTGCTGCAAGCTGAAACCAGTAATGAAACTGATTTTGTAACTATCAATGCAACGCTTACGTCTAAGTCCTCTTTGTGCATCAACGACCATGGGGAAGAGATTTTTGGGACTACTGCCTACAAACTAGATTGCAGGTAGCATAGACGACAATTTTTTGCGAATGACCATAAATGACATAGGTATCTTTAAAAACAATTATATAAACGAAATTTGTTTTCGCAGGAAATTCGTGCAGTGCGGCGACGGATTTGAGTTTATAGCGAGCTGTCAACCTGGATTGCTGTACAACAAATTAGAAAAGTATTGCGACTGGCCTCGCAACGCCAACTGTGTAGAATTTCCCTCCGCCAACCCCAGAAAACTAGTCGTACGGAATAGCGATGTGATGTTTGCGGAATGAATGGGGCTTGAACGGGCTCCAATATTTCAATTTAAATTCGATGCTTTGGAAATATTATCTATAATATTTACATAAGTATCAGTAATTAGTGCAATGCAAACAAATACATTTATAATTAATATATCAAAGTTGTTTAATTTTCATTTACAACGAGCATTCACTTTGTATCTTCTCTCAGGGACGAAGCTGATGTATGATACAACGCAGCACCCCCACACTTTTTTTTCTGGAACCTCATTCTGGCATTTCCAGGTCCCAGGCACAGGAAAAATAATGTACTTGATTAGGTACCGAAGTTTTTTCTAACTTTAGTCACCCTGTATCTTCTTCCCAATTTTATTTTTGACACCCTCTATAAATTTAGTTATTTATTTCACACTACAGAGGTATACAATGGGTATATAAATATTCAATGTTTAGTACAATACATCTTTTTTTCTCCAAAAAGAAACAAGCACCTAAGTGATTTAACACTTGTGTTGTGCTGAGATTATAAACTAGATTACAAATTTATTATACCTAAGAATGGTTAAATTATAGTTACAATTACAATACAGTGAAGTGTACATAATATAGATAATGTGCAATATACCTAAAAGAAAACATAAAGTCAGTAGCTTAGGTTGGTATCTACTACTTAATTCAAAATTTTATCAAATGCTATCAAATTATTAAAATATATTTTTTCGATTCCCTTGCAAATAATTTATATTTCTGGATTTTTCTGATCTCCATTGGCAATATATTGAAAGCTTTAGGGACAGTATAAATGAAGAATCTATGGGAAATATTTTTATTAAATCTACGAGTTGACAATAACTCATTCGATGTACTACGAGTCTGATACACAGAGTTACATTGAATTTGAGTAGGGAAATTTTTGAATGCATGGATACATATTTTATGAAAGTATAAGGTGCGAATATTACATACCTCCTCTGTATAGAGCAGACTAGTAGTATATCTTCTTTGTTTTCTATAAATTATTTTCAATATGTAGTTTTGAATTACATTCAGTTTTTGCAGTGCGTTACCATACATTCCTCCCCAAACCAAAATGCCATAACAAAACAGTGATTCAGCAAGAGATTTGTAAATTAATAATAGTAAACTCTTTGAAAGAAAGTCACGCATCTGATAAAATTTGTAGATGAGCTTTCTCACTCTTTTTGTAAGGTAGTTCACATGACTCGTCCATTTCAAATTCCTATCTAAAATTATGCCCAAGTACTTAATCTCACTCACCTCCCCGATATGCTCATCCATGCCCTGAACACTGATACTATTATACTCTGGTTTGTTAGCATCTGATAGAGTATAGGCAAGATAGTGTGTTTTATCAACGTTTAGCGACAAATAGTTGAAGTTTAGCCAATTTTTAATTTTTTCCATGCCCATTTGCACAGCCAACTTGGTTTCCTCCCATGTTGCACCCTTAAATGTTATAGTCCAGGAGGTGGCGCCAAAAACATGCAAGAGTTTTCGCAAGGCGGATATTTTCAAAATAAGTCGTACTTTAGTGTTAGAATGCTAGTGTACAGTCAGCACTCACAGTTCCGGGACAGCTGGCTCTGGGACGCGGGCAAAGTTGTAATTTTAAGAAGCATCTAAACTGTTTTCTCAAAGCTCAAAATTTATAGAAATTTTGCACATTATCTGTTTGAAGGTCACAGATAACGTATGTAAATCGTCAGACGTCTAGTTCGTTGCAAAAAGGGGGTCAGACGTCCTCAAAGTTTTTATTTTATGGCATTTTCTTCAAATATATTTGTCAAATACCTGCAAAAATATATTTTGACAGGACACCGAAGAAAATGCCATAAAATAAAAACTTTGAGGACGTCTGACCCCCTTTTTGCAACGAACTAGACGTCTGACGATTTACATACGTTATCTGTGACCTTCAAACAGATAATGTGCAAAATTTCTATAAATTTTGAGCTTTGAGAAAACAGTTTAGATGCTTCTTAAAATTACAACTTTGACCGCGTCCCAGAGCCAGCTGTCCCGGAACTGTGAGTGCTGACTGTACACTAGCATTCTAACACTAAAGTACGACCTATTTTGAAAATATCCGCCTTGCGAAAACTCTTGCATGTTTTTGACGCCAGCTCCCCAACTATTACCACGGTATCGTCTGCGTATGCAACAATTTTTACGTCAGTAATAACGGATAACAATGAATTGATATACAGCAAAAAGAGCATGGGTCCAAGAACTGTTCCCTGGGGAACGCCTATTTTAATATTTTCTGGATTACTAAGTGCATCACCAATCCTGACATACTGCATTCTATCTGTCAAATAGCTCCGAAAGACATCCAACACCAAGCCACGTATCCCAGAGCGCTCAAGAGTACTAATAAGTCTAGCGTTGTTAACAGTATCGAACGCCTTCGCCAAATCAAGGAAAATAGAGATGCATTTCTTGTTTGTGTCTAAACATTCCAGTACTTCCAATAAAACAGAACACATGGCATCACTTGTAGATTTGCCATCGCGAAAGCCAAATTGGCACTCGTGCAAAATATTGCATCTATTCAAAAATGATACCAGACGGACTTTTAGGCACTTCTCAAAAAATTTTCCAAAATTGCTCATCACACTTATTGGCCTGTAGTTACTAATTTTTTTTCTATCACCAGCCTTATGAATAGGGGTTACGATAGAAGTTTTAAACTGTGTTGGAACAATTCCTTTAGTAAAAATTAGATTAATTATATGAACGAGGGGCTTTAGAATATATTGATGATTATCCTTTATCATTTCAGTAGTAATTCCGTCAATACCAGGAGCACAGGAGTTTTTTAACGTGGATATTAGTTTAATTATTTCATTCTCTGCAGGGCCGGCTTAAGGGGGGGGCGAGATGGGCGGCCGCCCAAGGCGGCACGATCCAGGGGCGGCAAATTCATACCAAACAACAATAAAAAAAAATTATAGAAAATGAAACCAACTACTTAAAAAAAATTAAGAAATATAAATCGAACAGCGAATCAATTATACAGGGTTTTTGGTACATCTATAGAAGATTTCAATGAGTGATAGTTGGGGTCATTCGGAAGCTGTTTGACCATTCGGATTTTCTTTCCGAGTTTTTCGAAAGAGTGCATATCAGGAATATCGGAAAAAAATTGAGAAAGGTTAAAATGGCCCTAACTAGTGATAGGAAGTTTTCAATGAGTAATCATTAAAAACTTCCTATCGATGTACCAAACACTCTGTATTATGGGATAGATGTCATTTTGGACAATTGAACCAGCACAGTGGGCATTTGAATTTCTTATATGATATACATTTACTACAAAAAACTTCATCTAGAAGAGTTATCGGAATATTGCAAAAATTTATAATACCTATGTATATTCTCATGCATGACAATTTTTTCGATGTCAATGTGGCATAATATTGTCAAGCCAAAGAATAACACCCATTATAATATGTATTAATTATATTATAATTCGAAAGTTCATTGACA